ATAGTTTGAGTCTCTCTCACAGCATAATGTAATGTAATCCTTTAGTGGGGAAAACAGGTTCAACCAGAAGTACATTTATTCCTCTAAAAAGAGTAGACTATCTTCCAAATTTTAAGTTTTATTATTATCTGTCTCTGTAGTTTGCTTGCTTTTATTAAGCTGGATTAAAAATCCCAGACAGAGCAGAGAAATTCACCAGCACCACCATTAAGCAGGCTACAAATTTATCCTTTGCCACAGAACAAGCATACACTTAAAATCAATTCAAGAAAGTAGCTTTCAATGTTCAGAGCAAAAGTTCCCATATCCATTTGTCATGCATTCCAATGTCTCATGGCTCCTTCTTTAATTGTCTAACTCCCAACACAGTTTCTGTTTATAGTCTGAGAACAAGGAACCACCCAAGTGAGACATCCCTTCAGAGCACCGTTGAAAATACATTAAATATGGAGAGATCCCAGATCCCTGTTACTAAACGTTAAAAATGTTTTATAGTAGTGCATAGATATCCTTGGATACGGTCTATTACGTTCTAATGCTTAGTTTTTGTTTCCCCCTTTTTGATCATATCTTCAATTTCTTCTGAGAGCTTTCCTTTGAAGTCATTTGATTCTATTGCTTTTAACTTCTTTTGATACTCCAGGGGCAAACCATTCTCTTTTGCACCCATGCAAATGACCTAGAAATGGTTAAAACAAACAAAAAAACCTTTTAGTCAGGAGCATAATTTAACATACCACAGCTTTATGTATATTGTCAAAACACGAAATATTAGCGTTCAGATAACTTTAGATTAACTCTAGAACAAACATTTATAGAACAAAATAGAGATAAGAATCATTCTTATGATACTGAGCATGAACGTACAGAGTTTTTAAAGCCACATGATGTATCCCTGTGGAATATCAGGACAAAAATATATCTTATGGATACACTAATTGGTTTCTAATTGCCTGGAGCAACAGAGGAAGAAGGAGACTCAGGAATCGGAGAAGGAACTGGTTTGCAGCTCTAACTGCCTCCACGAACTACTACCTCCCTTGCCATGAGATCAGAAGAAATGGATGGTACCTGGCTACCAATAGCGAACATAGATGGATCTTGATCAAAAGGAGGAAAATTGAAGAACTTTAAATTCTTGTTGGAAACCAGATCTACTGGACACACTGAGACTGAAGGGACTCCTGAATCTATGGCCTGGAAACAACTTTTAAACCATGAGCAGAAACTGTCCCATGAAGTTATCTTTAAACTAAACAACAATTTAGCTCAATAAATAAAGAATGTCCGTCTTGCGCATTGTGCCCTATTGAAGAATTACCTACATAAGATTGACATGACAACAGCAACTGGAAACCACAGATGAGAACTTTAAGGGACAGAGAGTGTAAGTTCACAGTGGTGAAACAATAGGGGCAGAGATAGTGACAATGGTGACACAGTGTAAGAATGTAACCACTGTCAATGAACTACACATGCAAAAATTGTTGAAGAGGTGTATGTTTTGTTGTGTATGTTTTCACCAAAAAAAAAAAAAATCTATGCCTATATCTATCTATCTGCATGTGTATATCTTATGGCATAAAATCTGCATGAACTTTTAAGAAAAAACACCATTCTTCAAAAAGATTTTTAAGTTTATAGGAAGCAGTTTCAGTTTCAATACTGGAATCTACTCTTCTCTGAATTAGACATGGGGGAAAAAATGAATGGCTACTGTGTTCAGTGGCACTTCCAAGATCCACACCAGGTTAATTCCTTTAGGCCCCATAGTAGAAAATGCCAGATTAGGCCCAGGAACTGGGCCACCCATCCCAGGTGCCAAGTCCTGACTGGACCTGAAAGCAAGGATCTTGAGTCTGGGTTTCTGAAAAGGGATGCAGGGGCTCTATCCCATACCCTTTACTGTGCCCGATTCTGAAAGGCACTGTGACTTTTCTTTCTTCATCTAGAGATGGAAAACATTTCATCAGTAGGAAATATATTTTCTTTCCCATAAAAATGAATCTTGGTGTTCATGACATCTTGTTTTGTGGAGGAAAA